CCGAGATTAATCCGAATTTTCTCCGTTTTTCTGAAAATGATGATATTGTGTAATAATATAGATTTATTAAGCTATTTACACCTACTCAATTGATCTACGAGTGAATGGTAAGAACTGTAGGCATATATTTCAGATGGAAAAATATATTTTCAATGCAATTTTACATATTAAAAGGGGACTTTGAGAAAATGTGTACTTACATATATAGTATAATTTTTTGCAGGAGGTTTATAATCTGATTAATCTCCAGAAACAGATTCTAATCACCTAAATTGGAATCTCGTACACACATGTACTATCCTAAGTTGTAAAAATACTTTATACCCATTGAAATCAAATTTAGTTTTATTAGTCTATTATTCATTATCATAATTGATCTTGAATGATGAAGTTGGATCATATTTAATTGTCTTTTTGGTTGCCCAAATTAGTGTTCATGCTAAAATGTTAAATGAATTACACCTGAATACATAATGTTAGCAAGGTTTTTTTATTTTTCCCAATTTCATCAAAAAGCCGATAATTTTTTCTGTAACACAATGAGCGTACAAATTGTAATTTTAATTGATATATTAATTTTGTACATTGCGTTTATTAATATTTTAAATATTGTGTTTTGAATTATAATTGATACTGTCAGTGTGTAGAGCGACGGACAATAACTTCTTAATTATGATCTTGTTTACAAACTCTGAGAGATTGGATACATTAAGTGAGCGTCCTCATTTGACGGACAGTTAGTTTTTACGATATGTGTTGTTCTCGAACATTGACACTTTTCAATCAGACTTTGTGCAAAGCTGCAACCTTCTAATTAATTGAAAAATGTGCAAGATACACAATGTTAATGTAAACAGAGGACATTGCCGTATCCTATAAGGAGATGAGACAGCTTCAGTGAGGGGCGGACTATATTCATATTAACAAGTAGAGCTTTTTCAAAAAGCTTACCGTCTTTAGCAAGAACCTTAAACAGTAAACTGACCTAAACCTATCAGGCCGTATAATTCTTTAAAATTTCTTGGCTTTGTATTACTTCATCAGTTTTTTTTTTCTGACATACATGTAAGCTCTACTAAGTGAAAGGTTAACAGATGCTCGGCTGTCTCCGTAAACTTCGACTCTGTTGCCGAGATCATTCGGCAAACCTCGGCTGATTCGATATGTAGATGAGGTACGAATCGGCCGAGGTATGCCGAGTGCTGCAGATTATGAAGACTGGGCAAAACAAAGGGAAAAAGAATACATACAAGCTGTAAAGCTTGCATGCAATAAAGATAAATTCTGTTAACAATGAAAATATAGACACGTTTTTTGGTAATTGCTGTAAGAAAAACTAGCATGTTATTCCGAATACTGCCAATTTCCACTGTTCGTTTTGTCATATTTTTTTTACGACTGAAAATGTTGAAAAATTGTTAAGTCGTACCGAAATTTGATCATCAGAAAATTATCTCCTTTGCCTTGAACAGCATTTCAACCAATGAAATAATTGAAAATTTTCTCATCATGCAATTTCTACCAATCACAAAAGAGAGGAAGTGCATAGTCCGAAGACTGTAAAATACTTCAACTCTGTATACCGTCTTCCAAGGAAGACGGTAATTATGTGACACTGTAACTTACTGATTGTTATTACCAAATACATGATCCCTATGCAGCTTCTTGTACAAAAGATGTGCGCACTGAGTATCATGAGCTTTTTACCATCTTAGCTCCTAGACTGAATATATGAGCTTTCACCATCTTGGCTCCGAGACCTACAGTCATTGAACTTTTTTATGTACCATTGTTTTTGCCTTTGCTGTGACTTTATAATAAAACTATAAACTTAAAAAGTCTTCTTAATCCAAACACATTGAGTAATTGTGTTATATTTCCCAATTCCCTAAAAATGGCGTTTCCCAAAATAAGCTGCTAAATCCTTGCAGATATAATTTTCATTAAAAATTCAACCCCTTCTTAATATTTACTTTAGGATACTTGATCGAAGAATCAGAATGCTTTTAACAAAGTAATTCTCGGGATGGTTAATCACAAGTTATTTATATGTTAACTTTTCTGTGTCATTTTTTGGATGTTATGGATGAGAATAACATTTAAAAACGTTGGACAATTATTTGCACTGCACAAAGAGAGATTTAGAACTTTTACTTCAAACGGAGTACTGGATGATGTAAAATGTAAATAATTGAAAAGCATTAAATGACTGTACTTCTGATTTTCAACACTTTCTAAAGCCACGTCAAAGACCTCATCGTCAGAAGCCTAAGATTTGTATGCTTTAGGTTTGCAGTGACATAATGTACACAAAACCTCTTCCATCAATTTTTCAATCGTCGACGTTCCTTATTTATATGGTAATATTCCACTATCACCTACATATAGATTTTATGTCTCCCTTCTTATTCGATACGCAAGAGTTTGTTCCGAGTACGATCAATTTTTAAACCGAGGCAGGCTATTGACAAATGAGTTGATATTACAAGGATTTTAACATACTCGTTTAAAGTTAGCATTTCTAAAATTCCCAAAAACAACCTATCACTGGGTCGCATTTTCAATTACTTTTTCGTACCTATTTTAGACCATTGTTTTTAACTACGGATTACACCGTGTACATGATCAATACATAAGGTTCACGTGTATGTGACCAATCGACATGGGATGTTTACTTAGGCACCTGATGCCACCTTTGGAGTTTTTAAGGGTTCGTGTTTCATTCCTGTTCACAAGTTTGTACCGTTTATAAGAATTTGAGATGTTCACTGTTTGTTATTTTTTACATTTTTTTATTAACGGTAGAATTTATAAGAACTAAACTATATGACAAACTAGATGGCTTAAGCTTCTCTTTCGTCTCATATTTATGTAGCAATATTCCATCATCACCTGCATATGACGTCTAAGTCTCCAATCCCATCTTATTCAGTTGCAATCTGAAAATGTTTGAAAATTATTTTTTGTAAGCCGAGGCATACTCATGACAAATAAGTTGTTGTTACAGGACTATCAACAATTTGTTTATTTATTGTTGTTTAACGTCCCTCTCGAGAACTTTTCACTCATATGGAGACGCCATCACTTGCCGGTGGAGAGCTGGAAATTTTGACCTATACTCGGCACTCAGGGCCATTGAGCAGTGAGGGATCTTTTTCGTGCCAGAACCTACTGCGACACGGTACCTCGGTTTATACGGTCTCATCCGAAGGACCGATCTCCACGTCCAACAGTGGTATTCGAACCAGGACGTAAGGATCAACTCCTTACTCCGCGACCACAGGCACTTGTTTCTGTAATAAATTTTTGACCCATAGTATAATACTATAGTAATAACACAAGGTATCCAACTCCGAAAATACATGGAGTACCCCCCCCCCCCCCCCCAGAATCGCACTCATTTACACTTTCAGAGGAAATGCACTGGCAAACTGTTTATACCCATGTCTTCTACGATAATTTATCTACACAACCATATATGGCATGCTTGTCTTTATTTTCTTTTATCTCCGTAAACGGCGTCAAAACGCTGCTCGCCAAGTGCAAAAGTCGAACTCAGCCATGGAATGGTATGTGCTAATTCCGGGCAGAGATTTTGATTGGCTAAAAATCTGTTTCTAAAATTACATCGAAAAATATCGTAGTGTTTTTATGGAAAATGAGAGGTAAACAAATTTTATTTATTCACTGCAATATTTAAACACTGGAATTGAATTTTTAAACCCACTCATTTTTTAATTTTGCTCTCTGCCCTGGATTAGCACATACCGTTTCATGGTTGAATTCGACTTTTCCACTCGGCGAGCAGAGTTTTTACGCAGTTTACGGGGATAAAAGAAAATAAAGACACGTATGCCATATATGGTTGTGTAGATAAATTATCGTAGAAGACATAGATATAAACAGTTGCCAGTGCATGTCCTCTGAAATTGTAAACGAGTGCGACTCTGAGGGAGGGGGGTACTCCGTGTAATACGGAGTTGGATACCTTGTGTTATTATTATACTATGGGTCAAAAATTTATTACAGAAACAAGTGCCTGTGTCAGCGACTCTAGAGCAAACGCTCTTACCACTGCACCACGCGGGCGACCTATCAACAATTTCATTTAAAGTCAATCAACAATTTTATTTAGAGTCAATACTTCGCACATTCTATGGTCGTTATAATGACTTGCAAATACATGTAAAACTTAATTGGGTCAATTTTTGACTGGCATTTTTCATACCAATTGTAAGGTCATTGCTTCAATTTTGACTACAACTTACAATGTACTTACAAGATTTTAAAGGAGTTTTTCCTATGCACTGTATTTCATGGTCCCCTTTTTGAAAGATTTAGAATCTACACTACCTCAGTAAGCTTCCACATAAGTTTCATCGATCTGTTCTGGCCCAGTGGTTCTTAAGAGGAAGATTTCTAACGATTTTTCCTGTTATTTCAATATTAAACTTTGATCTCCTATTGTTGCCCCACCCTACCCTACCTCCGGGGGTCATGGCTTGAAGAATTTAGAATTTTCACTACCTCTGGAAGTCTCATCTCTTCTGGCTCAATGGTTCTTGAAAAAAGATTTTTAATGTACGTTTCTTATGTATTTCAATGTTAAATTTAATCCCTATTGTTGCCCCAACCTACCATCCGGGGCCATGGTTTGAACAGTGGTAATAAACAGTTTGCTAGTGCATTTTCTCTGAAAGTTTAAATGACTGCGATCCTGGGGAGGAGGCCGGGTACTCATTGAAATTCAGAATTAGATATATCTTGTGTTATTATTATCCGATGCTATGGGTAAACAACAATTGCCTGTATAATCCATAAAAAATATACATGATATACTATTTGAACATGAACAGTGTAAATACAAAATGCATTTTGATTAAGAAATTAAATAAATTAATTAAAAGTTTCTCTCTTTCTCTCTCTCTCTATAATCCTTCCCACAGAAGATGAATAAAACCAACAGTTTCGCTTCCCTAACAGTGGCGGATCCAGGAATTTCATAACAGGGGGGGGGGGGGAGGGGAGGGCGCAGTAGAAGGCAGGGGGGTCTGGGGGGCTGCATTGAAGCCCCCAGTGGGCCTAGGGCAAAGTCCTGGTGGGGGTCCGGGGGTTGACGAATTCTCACAAATAAGAGATGTTTTTCCTTGATTTTAGGATAATGGACATATAAGTTCTACATTCAAAAAATTCAAACGGGGGGGGGGGGGGGGTTGTTGCGCCCGACGCGCCGGCCCTGGATCCGCCTTTGCCTAAATTGTTTCTTCTGTTTGTCCTGACGTTCCAGGGTTGCTATGGTAACCAGATTCTCGTCTGCTTGTAATCTCGCTGTATGGATTTTCCTGCTCCTTGGGCACGGCCTTGACCCGGGTAGAATGACCATGCATAATTTGAGGAAGAACCTCATACATATACACTTTTTTCTTTATTTTCTTCTTTCTTGGTCCGCTTACTGTTTCTATTTCCGGACCACTGAATTGACTTCCTTTCAAGATAATGTCCAGCTTTGACGATAACCTTAATTTAAGAGGATTTTGTGCATATGCCTTAATAATGACTTTATATATTTAAAATGAATAAGTAAAAAGGAAAACTTACAATAAATACATGTATGTGTTAAGGAAACATATTAACAAAATAATGAATGAAATGTTTAAGTATCTTCACATCCACATGGATATTTTTTTCCTAATTTTATTTACAATCATTGGATTCTAATTTTGAATATAAATGGATAATTTCCGTTGTACATAATTTTTTCGTTAAATCAGTTAACTAACCTTTTCCACAGTAGTGTACTGATGCACATAAACAACACAACCAGAAACAAACTTGAAGCACTGAGTGCCAATGAGACGGAAACCTCTGTAAAATAGATAATCACTTGTTCATTTACTGGATTAGAAGTTCTAGGAAATTGGGAAAATGCATGAGTTTTGAACATTCTTTTGTGTCATTATCATTTTTTTTTAAGATGCATGTTATTTTTTAAAAATTAGTTCGTCATCGTGTGTGATCTGCATAGTTTATGATGTGATAAATATAACTGTGTGTGTGTGTGTGTGAGAGAGAGAGAGAGAGAGAGAGAGAGAGAGAAAGCATTAATTGTAAAGGTGCCTAAATTCCCAGCAGTAACATTTACTAGACACACCAAGAATTCCTGCATCCTTGTCAGCTAGAGTCCGTATGGCCTGTAGTTTTTCCTTATCTTGGGTTATAATCCTATCTCCTGTTTCATGCATCGCGTCATCTAAATATATAATCAATTTATCAAGACTTACCCATACAAAACTACTTGCAAAGGTTTTAGGCTTTACTAGTATACTATATATTTGTAGAGTTGTTAAAAAATAAACATTATGACAAAATTTACAGCTATCGACACGCACCTTTAATAGTCCAGATAACCCCGCCCCCTTTGACAGGTTGTAATTGCTTCGCAGTCGTTTCCAACATCATTGACGTTTGGTAGTCCGTTATATCTTAAATCAATCACGTGAAACAAATAAATGGCGGTTATTTAATTAAGATTACATACAGGTATTGATAATATATATTTTTTAAACAGAAACACTAGAAATTTAGAATTTTACATGTTGTGTTGATACACACTCCCATTCTTGGGGTGCTGCAGTTATCGAACTTTGTTTCCACTGTTTCATCGTCTCTGGAAACAACAAAGGTGCAGAAAGTATCTGGTATTTCAAAAAAAATAATAATGATAATAATAATAATAAATAAAAAAAAAATAGCTATAAATGTTTGTCGTGATCTGAAAGTGCAGTTTATTAAATACAGTTTGAAAATGAAAAATTATCAAACCATTTTCAAATACCTTCATTGTCGCTCAGTTCAGCGTTTGGAAACCAAAATGTCGTGAACGGTTTGGGTGACAGAAGAAATTTATTTATTATTGAGAGCAATGCGTACTTTCGTAGAGGACCTTCTATTCTGAATTTGGCAGAACCGCACAATTCTGTGGACTCCTTGTATGACACTTCCGTTAAATTAACCTCAATGTCTGCAGAAGTCACTAAAGGAAACAAAAATAACATTATATCTATCATCTCCGAGAAAATGCTTGGACAAAATTTTATGTGTAGCAAAAACAAAATGTCGTCCGGACTATGTCCGTAAGACATAAAGACATGTATACGTTTGGTAGCTGCCTTTGATCTACTGATAAATTTTGCTCCCCAAATAAATTTAAACGTCGATAATTAAAAATCAAAACAATGAGCATCATCTGTTCATTCGTCAATCACGGATGGAAACTAAATTGGTTGGCTTAATTAATCTGAGTGAAGGCTTATCTATAAGGATTACCACAAATGAATGGCAGTTTCCTGTCTCCATGTTCATTTAACCTTTTTATCCGAAGACATTTTACTGAAAAAGTAAAATAAAAATAATGAAGTAAAATGTTTTCAAATCTTTTAAAGCATTCAATTGTTTTGGATGTATTTTTTTAAAAATTTTTATTTATTTTTGACAGTACCCTGATCGCATCCAATTTCTTGAATTTTTCCATCAATCCACGCTGAAACGTTCACCCCAATTCCTTTGATGACATCGCTATAAAGATTATGGTCCTCAATGTAGCTTTGGGGTATCAGCTGTGATTCATATTTTACATTGCAATCCTTAGAAGCAGTAGTCCAGTCAACGTGATGTTCTGATGATCCAGAAGAACCTGTACCGAAAGAGAGTTCCAGCTATAATTTAGCGTACAAAAAATAAAAAAGCATATATAATAATGTTAACGTTTCACCGGGTGTGTTCAATTTGTTAAACTCTGCACACATCACTGAGCACGGACTGAAAATACCGGTGAGGTGGTTTTGTTATCTCACATTTCCACTCTAAATTTTCTGGATTAAAGTTTTAATATTTTTCATTAATACACAAAAAATTTTTTGCTTTTCTCAAGTATTAAGGATAAAGTTTACTTTGTGAAAGTGCAAGGATGTGTCAATCAAACGCGTCCTGAAATTCGTAGTTTCATTAACTTCCCTATAAAAGAAGTTTCTGTACACGTGTTTATTAAATTTCCGTGTGAAATGCTATAGCAACATATAAGTCATGATATTATTCAGAAATTTTGAGAAAATATTAAATTAATTTCAAAATTGTGTTCAGGTCCCTTTAACACTTACTTAGAGTTTTAAAGCAACATATTAATAATATATAGACATAATACACTTTTAAGTACTTGCACGTTTTTTTCAAATACCTTAATTCTTTGTCGCTCACTGTTCAGCGTTTGGAAACCAAAATGTCGTGAACGGTTTGGGTGACAGAAGAAATCTATTTATTATTGAGAGCACTGTGTACTTTTGTAAAGGACCTTCTATTCTGAATTTGGCAAAATAAGTCAATAAGTAAGATTTAAATAATAATGAAATAAATTGTACTTTACATTGTTTTTCATTTTTAAAAAAAAATGTGTTTTGACCGTGACAGAAAAATAACGAAACAAAATACAACACACGCAAAGAAGCAACGGGCAAGCGGATGGCGTTAACTCCCCCCCCCCCCCCCCCTTCCCTTCATCTAATATTGCCAGAATTGGCCTTATCATGTATTGATCTTCAAAAATCATATCACACCAATATTTTTGTATGAATATGTATGAGTCATAATTATGATACTACTTGGAAGTTTGCATTTAGCAAAAAAAGAATAATAAATATGGCTTTATAAACTGCACTTGAAATAGCTAAATTACTGGCACATTTTAATTTAAGTTATGGGTTGAAATTAAAACTATACACATTTGTTTTCATTCTTAAAATATTTTAAAAGCATTTCCAAGAATTAATTTTACTCCATTGACTTAAAAAAAATTAAAATAATTATAGATATTATTTCCTTTATTTGGAGATGATGATAATATTGATAATTTACCTTTCATCAAGGATAGGATAAACAAAGCACGGTAGAATTGTTGACACGATCTCATCTTTTTTGTCAGTTTAAAAAATATGTTTTCAGTACTTCTCTCTTGACTCTCAAAACACAATTACCGGTACATGTACTAATACTAAGGAAACGGAATTGTATTTTGTTATCAATTCATTTTTTAAAAAATTTCACCGGATATCTGATGAAGGTCAAAACTTTTTAGAAATTTTAAATCTAAAACTTTGTTTAGTTTGAACATATTTTATTGTCTATAAACTTTACAACTGGGATTGTGCAAAGGTTCTTAAAACTTAATACGCCCTCTTTGTTGTTTTACATATATTAATGAATTCAAGCAATATTTTATTCAAGAAAATGGGTAGGATTCAGCAACAGACAAAGCCTAGGTAAATAATTTCTCCAAACAAATAAAATGTACAAAAGTAACATTATCATAGTGGGTAAATAAACTGAAAAAAAGCTTCTGAATTACTATATAGACAAAACTGAAGAATTGGAACCAGTATTTAATTAAGAGAACTATTACATTGTCATTAGTTCTATACCATAAAAACTGATTCACCATCAAATCGTTTGTTATTGTTCCACAGAATATTTTCTTACAGTTAATATGTGAATAGGTCTCATAACCTTTCACTAGAATTTAAAATTCAAAAAAGTATTTTTCAGTTGTTTAATGTTTCTATATAACTTTCCCATGCTGATAAAATATAGAGAACAAGTGAATAAAAAAAAACTATTAATAAATTGTGTTCCTTATAGAAAACATATTTTAAACATGATGCGTTCCGTGATTAGATAATCTTTTTTAACAGGCGTTTCAGTCTTTCTTAATTAATATACATTGTAATCTGTTTTCCTTCCGTTTCCGTTCACAGAATATTTGTCCTGATGACACATTGGATATCAGCAAATTGACCAGGTTGTTTCTTTTGTTATCAATATGAGATTATTCCATAACATCTGCATATTCGAGTCTTATATAAGGAAAAAAAAATCTTTTTTAAAATTTGAATTGAATATTTATCAAGCAAATGTTTCAGAAAACGGAGAATATTTAATAAGTTGCAATCCTTGCTATAAATGGTAGAGACATGATTGTTCCAAGTATCATGTCTTAATGCAATGAAAAAGGTATATATATATATATATATATATATATATATATATATATATATATATATATATATATATATATATATATATATATATATATATATATATATATATATATATATATATATATATCTATCTATCTATCTATCTATCTATCTATATATATATATATATATATATATATATATATATATATATATATATATATATATATATATATATATATATATATATATATATATCAAATAGTGATCAATTTCATTAATTTTATAATCATTACAAATTGAGACCAAGTAAAAACACGGACCTCTAAAAACCCAGAGGTGGAATTAAGTGCCTAAGAGGAGTAAACATCCCCTGTCGACCGGTCAGTCCTGTCGTAAGCCCTCTGTATTGATCAGGCAAATGGACTAATAAAAATAATGGTCTAACAATTGGTATGAAACTTGTCGGTCAAAATTTTTCCCAACAAAAGGTTGTATCAAGCACACAAGATCATTGCAACGTTCATAGAATTTGCGAAATGTTGACATTAAAGAGACTGTTGAAAGCTCTGCAATATGAATTTATTTGTCAGTGGCATACCTCACCTTAAAAACTTGGTCGTAGACAGCACCTTATCTTAGTTTGATATATTTTATTATTTATAATGAAATATTTACATTCGCTGTGTTTTTCTACTTAATCAATTATGAAATTGATTTGAATGCCATTTTCGTGTATACTCACGGTTAGAAATACAAACGGAGAAACTCGAGTATTATATATGCCTACGTGTCAGGTCTGTGTGATTTACACACCAATAATTTAATAGCTACCCAAGTTATACTGTATAACCTTGGTTGGGGCAGATACATGCAACGCTTTATAAACCACGAAGCGATTTACAAAAATGCGTAAACTGTTTCTTCCTACGTTATACGAGTATAATTTAATTTTCCATCAATAAGTGTAAAAAATAAGATAAGTTCTCCTTCAAATTGTTCATATCTTAAATGTAACGTAAAGCGGATTGATACGTTTTTGACGTAAGTCATTGTGACGTAGACAACGGAGGTTATACGATATAAACTTATTTTTTCATCAAATCAAATGACGGGTTACAACCAAAATTAAAATAAATAACTCACACAAACTTAAAAACATTCCTAAAATATATTATGTGTGAATATTGTTTTTGAACTAAATAACAGTCTATGGCTTGAAAAGCCACATTGTGTATTTTTACGCGGATTCGCCTACCAGCCTCCTTAATATTTTTCTAAGATTAACCATTACGCTACGCAAGGCTCTTTTAACTTGGCTGTGTCAGTATGGTTTAAATAAACGAATTTAATTGTTGGAGCATACAGTATCTTTTTTTTCCAAAAATTTTCATATAAAATGGGTTCAGACTCCATATTTGGGGGAGGGGGAAGCACAAAATAGGTTTTATATTCATTTTTCCGTCCTTTAAACGTTTATGTAGAATAGAGACGACCCTTTCATATTCAAAAATCATTTTTAATGGTTCTAATAGCCCATTTTCTACTAAATATGCTTTAACAGTCAACTTAGAAAACATATTAATTAATAAATAATTCAAAAAAAAAAAAAAAAAAAAAAAGGAATCAAAGATGTTTAAGACGATATTCCTGACAATATACTTTTTTTTTTAAATTAAAACTTTTCCATGAACTTTGAAAATTGAAATATACATGTATATTGACGCAAGAGCAGGGGGTTGCCTTGTACGGCCCCTTTCTTTACAAACATATTTGTGATTTGTCCATATCATCAGTCCATAAAATTGCCTTAGACCAACATTTTTTTCCACATTTGATATTAAACAAATACGCATAGAGTTTGAAAGTAATTAGTTTAAAATGTTTCTTTTAGAAATTTTTCGGACTGATAGTATGGATAAGATCAAAAAATGTCATAAAAGGTGTATTAAAAAAAAAAATGATGAAAAGACTTGAGGGTCTATATCGTGAGGTGGGTGCTATGTCTTCATTTGTGTTATACAAGTTTATTAGGATTAAAACTTTTGGTACTAAGAAATGAGGGGAAATATAAAAATGTAACCACATTACGAGGAAATTCCTGGTAATTGTTGATAATTGGATTAGCGAGCAATATTAACTGTTTACGGTGAAAAAGTGTAACTTTTACATCGATACATCCTCAAAATCGTTTCCATCATTTACTCTAATTTAGGACAATCGAACAAAAACTGTTGTCATCACTTCAAGTTCTAGAAATCAGTCTAAATAAACCTTGAACACAAGTACAATGTACTTGATTAAGCTGCTTATCCGATTATCATCAAAATTATTCCGATAGCGCTGTTCAGATACAGTGCAGGGAACTAATTTTGTTACATAAACCAGCATCAGCATAAGCATTAGTAGCATCAGGATCGAGCTAGCATCAGCATCAGCATTTAAAAAACAGCATTACCAGGATCAGTATCAGCAAGCAAAGGATAGAACTAGCATAGCTAGCATTGACCTAGATTTAAAAACCAGCATTGACCTACTTAAAATCAGGATCATGCTGGTTTACTAATAATACAGATTCGTTTTTCACAAAACGAAACAGCAAGTAGATATTCTTATTTCAGTCGGGAACAAATACATAGAGTGTATTTCTTGCGGTTAAATTATTCAATACAATCTTAAGATAAATATTAAATTAATTTAATAGCAATAATCCCGCGATATTTTTCAATCTGAATCAGCTGATCACCAAACGTCCTATGGAGTCCACTGTTGAGGCCTCGCCACGGCTTGATGTTATTGAAATTGGTGATAGGGTAAGTAGTAACACTTGGTCAACAAAAATAAGTTTAACAATACAATAAAAGTATGATGTTTGGTGTATAACTATTTACTTTAATTTTTATTGGGTTTTAAGTGCATACACGTACTAAGTAATTCACAATCCGAATTTCCTCAAAATTGACGGAAGCCAGAAATAAAAGTCGCAGTGCCTTTGATAAGATAATCATAGAGGTGTATTGAACGAAACCTAATAATTAAACCAAATAATTGATTCTGTATTATTCACAGCATTAAACGAATCTTGTTTAAATATTTTTAATGCGGAGGTTCTTAAATTTTATAAAAACATGTGCAGATAAATTTGTGTATGTACATGTTGTAGATCTACCAGAAAAAATTTCAATTTCAAGTAGCTAAAAAATAATTATCATTATAACACAAAATAATATATTGGAGAGGATCTATGCATGAAAATACTTTTACACTACATATTCTTTTTCACATTATTCATCATAGTGGTACATTGTGTAAACTAGTTTGTATAATTGTCCTGGTATGTAGAATTTTATTTTAAGTACTTGAATCCATTAATACCCTTGCAAATAAGATCTCAATTCAATTATAATAAATACACCAGATTTTATCAACAGAATTAATTAATTATATAAGTATATAAATCATTATAGTGTTTTTTTCCCAAATTAAGTTGTGCAAGATTTGTAAAAAAGATAAGATGATCAATTAATAAATCTTAGCTTCTTTGTATAATGTACTTTTATCTTTATTATAGCTCTTAGTGGAAGAACATGAGAGTACTTGATAGAAATGGAGTGCTATGAACAGTCTACAGTTTGTTGTTTCAACATCCCACATGAGAATTTTTCATTCATAATGGAGACACCAACACTTGTCGGTGAAGGGCTGCAATTTTAGACCTGTACTCGGCACATGGGCCTTTAATTATAAGCAGTGAGAGATCTTTTTCGTGCCAGCACCTTCTGCAACACTGGAACTCAGTTTATATGGTCTCATCCAAAGGACTGGGGCAATCTACAGTGAAGTCTGAGAATGATGATTCAAAGAAAATTCTGTTTGGAAAATGATATTTTTTAAAAAGAGAAATGTTCTTGATTCCTAAAAGTAGAAGGCATGGACAGTATAATGAAATGGTGAAAACTT